ATTATTTCCTACGGGATGGGGTTGCCGACTCCATGCCCAACCCTTCTCTTTTACCTGGGCTTGGGACAGGCAGTAACTGTAGAAGAGCTACAGGCGGGCCGCATTCCTACAGCTGAAGAACATACGGAACTCGAAACAACTTTCAGTCAATATCAAAGTCACAATCTTTACTACGAACGTCAAGACACTTCTACTGTACTGAGCTGAAGCTTGCAGAACTACCACAACCATCATCAAGAAGGTACAAGTATTTATAGACAATTGCCCACGAAACATGCTCCAGATCCATTGGCCATGTATGATCAGCAACAACCTACTGTTGAAAAGAAAAAACCAATTCCCAGCTGAAGAGGAATTTAGGAAAAAACGATGGAGGTGGGTAGGACATAGATTGCGGAAAACATCAAACTGCATCACAAGGCAAGTCCTAACACAGAATCCGGGATGGAGACGGAAAAGAGGAATACCAAGGAACATACTGAGTTGAGAATTGGAAGTAGAAATGAAAAGAATGAATAGCAAGTGGAAACAACTGGAGAAATTGAGCCCTGGACAGAATTGGCTGGAGAGTGCTGGTGGTTGGCCTATGCTCCCCCACGAGGAGTAACAGGAGTAAGTAAGCAGTAATCCAGAGTACTGAGAAATACACAAGTCGGATCCTTCTGTAATCTTAGAGATTTTAAAATTGCTGGAAGTATGTAATATCTTCTGTGATACTTCTAAAGCATCTATCATAACACGCTTTTGATATATTCACTTCGAATTAATTCACTATGAAAAAACATCCTTTCAGTGTGAAACTAGAAAAAAACGTGTTGGAAGAGTGAAGAATCTTTATTAACCTTAGTAAAACATGGTTTTCACATTGAATAAAATTATAAACTACGACTTTCAACAGTATTTCTTTGTATATTGATTTATCGACATTTAAATGACCACTGTTAAAAAGGAATTAGAAAAACGATACTTTTTTGTTTAAACAATTTAACTACTAACAAAATATTTAGTAGTAGAATAATGTAAAACTTCATTATATCAACCTGTGTCATAAATTTCATTTATTTAAATTTACCACCGATATATTTATTGTTGATAGCTCAGATTTTCTTCATTAGAAGGGCATAAAAAATTAATCCTTCAAATTTGTACTATTCCATACATGAAATATAGCCTAACATAAATATCAAAGAGAATTTACAGAGAAAATAGTTTCAACAGTTGAGATCATGAGTCAATTGAATCTAGACCATCATGGAAAACCTGGAAGCACTAGACGGCATGGACGGTTTTTCATGGTGGTCTAGCTTCAATTGACTGATGATCTCAACTGTTGAAATTACTACAATCTCCACAAAACCCCTTCTGGTACAAAAGAAAATAGTGTGTTATACGAATGTTTCTCTGTCACCCATGAGTTTTTTAAACTCGAGATTTACATATCCATGGTGGACATCATGATGGAAGGGACATAAGTTTGTATTTTCCTGTGAATAGATTTTTAATCCTTTTTTTAGATACTTGAAATATCTTTAGTGCTTGTGATCAATACCCTTTAAGTGTCAATCGAATATTGAAATTTTATCAATGAAGTCAGTAGAGAAAATTTATGAACAAACTGAAGCAATTTTCAATACTTTGTAAATGATCTTTTGGTAATAAATATGGTTTAAATGGAACTGTTAATATGCAACAGAAGAATAAAGTTTTGAACTTCTTCAGAAATAGATCCACAATTACATATCAGTAACTTTATTTCCATGAATTGTTAGTGTAGTGAATGAGAACACAATTGGGGACAATCAAATGTATTTAAATACAGAACACCTTAGTGAAATCTAAGAACCATACAGTAAATAATTCATTTGTAAAATGTCAATCAATTGACTGTTCTTTTGTTTCCACATCAATCATTCTCTGTTCTCGTTCTGCTTTCTTCGATCTTCTTAAGCTTCTACTGTAGTGTAAATGAACACCAGTGGGGACAATAGGATGTATTTAACACAAAATTACAGGACTTGTTAATAAAATCTAACAATCATATAGTGGATGCTTAATTTGCAAAATGTCCATCAGCTGTCTGAAAATGACTCAGACTTCATTGTTCTTGTATTTTCATACAAATTGCATCGTTTTCATTATTTACTGTTCGATCCTTTTGTCTGTTTGCTGCCAGACCTTCTGTTCACGACTAATATCATATACTACTCATGTCAATATAAGTAGCACACACCACCAGGCATTTTACTTTTAATTGATGATAGATACTACTTATATCTGTCGATATCAGTAGCACACACCACAATAGTACATCAATGTATATATTCACCAAATAGATAAATTCCGTTGATTTGAAAGCAACTGCTTTACATAGTAAGTAATGTAAGTAGTCTTATCTAATCTAAGCTATTGGTAAAAAGAACCTACTGTCTATGAGAAAATTCATGAAATGGATTGCACACTAATTGGACTAAATATCTAATCGCTGGTCATTTTGAAGTAACTTATTACTGATTATATTGTCACATTCCAGAGTATCAGCTTTTTAGGCATGAACTAATTACAACGCACATGTTGACAATGTCGTCAAAATTAACTGTGTATCATCTGTCTATTCACTCATTGAACATTTACATACATTTAAACATTTACATTTTCTGTATTCCCTACATGTACAATATACAAATTATACACTGCAATTAAAATTTGAAAAGTAAATTATAAATCATCTTACTTTTAGTTGTAGTTCATTATAAGTATTCTGTAAGTGAACTGAAATTGGCCTTTCCTATTCAATTCATCCACAAGCATGACATCATAGTCTTTCTACTAGGAAAATATTGGTTCCTAACTTTTACGTTCCATACAACATCGATTATTCTTTATAGATGTATCACTCCTATAGTTTACTTATATTCTTCTTATACTACTAACGTGGCCGGTAAGAGTAGAGGATATTCGTAGGTTACTAGTATTCGATCATAGATGTCTTCGAAACATTGCTCGTATATCATGGGACCACCGAGTAAGTAACGCAGCTGTTAGGAAACGGGTACTAGGTAAGGATGGCAAATCAATTGATGAAGTAGTGAAACTTCATCAGTTGAGATGGCTGGGACACGTGTTACGTATGCCCAACCACCGACTGCCTCGATGTGCGATGTTCAGTGGTATAGGAGTAGGTTGAAAGAAAGCGAGGGGCGGCCAGACCAAAATATGGCAAAAGTCCATGAAGTCACTGACAAGTGGTCTGAGTCATGTTGATAGGTATAGACTACCTGGTTGGGGACCGCGAGATGATAGCAACCGATGGTTAGAGACCCTGAATGACATGGCTCAAAATCGTTTGCAATGGCGCAGGTGCATCCACTCTTTGTGTTCTCCCAAATTCTAATCTTCTGAATTCTTCATGTCCCTTTTTTCCTCTTTCCAAATTTATTTCACTGAATTATACTCTTTAAATAACATCTCCAAACCCTAATCTTCCCGATCACTGCTTACACTCTTGCTACCTCTACAACTACAGGATGTGAATCGACAACTGCATCTCTGTGTTAAGGTGGTGTGGCAACTCGAACTGATGTACGTACGTACGAAGTTCTACGTTGTTACTGACTGACTGACTGACTTATACTACTAACTAAAAGCTACCTTGTGTTTACTAAACTCTAATAACAATACTGTACCCCAAAATGTTACCATTTATGATTATGCATTTTGTTATCTTTCCCATTGTTAAAATCTTTGTGAGAAATAGTCAATTAAAGTAAATTATGAATTATTACTTTTCAAATAATGTACACTTTTTTTGTATTGACTTAATAATGCTCATAAACTAATATTCATTATTGTCAAAATATAAATGGTATATTGTCATTATTGCAATTCGAAAATGATAACATTCTATTAACTAAAAAAGTTGATGGATGAATGAGAAAACATTCAAAACAGGAAAACTATCCAAACAGGATAATACACATATTTCTTTAACTTCGTATCTCAACGATGCAAAAGGCCCTTGATAAAAACTCTTAACTATCAAATATGTATTACCTCTACCACTACGGAATTTGAGTCGACAACTACATCTCTGTGCTAATGTGGTATGGCTACTCGAACTGATGTATGTACGTACGAAGTTCTAAGTTGTTACTGACTGAAACGCATTGAGTTATACACTTAGGGAAAACAGGTACCCTGAGAAGTTTATAAACAAATATATGATCACAAAGGTTAGAAATAAGTGAAATACAAACGATGAATAAGAAATTCCTGTTCATTTGCTTAAAAACTCAGAGGTAATAAAGTCAAAGAAACATTAATTCAGAGATTGCATACAAGAATCCAGAGAACATTCAACGCCAGAAATCTAAAACTGGTGTTTTCTACTCTCCTGAGATTCAAAGATGAATCACCTGGAATGATCACTTCGTTTTGTATTTATCAATTTGACCGCTCTTATGAAGCAAGTTATGTTAGTCAGAAATCTATATATTCGTGCTCGCGAGCATCTCCGAGAATAATCTAGTAAAGGCGTAGAGTGAACAACTCAATACTGGATATCTATTGTAAACTAGTCACAGTGCCGGTATAAACCAATCCTTCACAATAATTTAACGGATCAGTAAATTTTCGCCAAAGTCGGTCCAACACAAAGTCTTCAAATGGCAGAAGCGATAGTCATTAAGATTATAAAACCGGTGCTGCTTAGGAAAGAAAAGATCTTCAACCGCTTCCCTTACCTTAGCCAAGTTCAGAACCAATTAATCATTAGTAATCTTAGCAAAAAGAGAACTGAATAATAGACGAGATTTCAAGTTCAGTAGGTGTTCTGTAATTTTAAAGTATTATTACTGTTATATCTTGTGACCTCCGATTAGAGAGTAGTGACGTATCGAACGGACCAAGGACGAGTAAACACGTGCGACCAGCCTAGAGTCCTGATTGGCCCTGCTTCCTGCCTAGTCCAGCCAGTTAAATACAGAACACAAGTCTCAGCCTCTGAAATATGAATCATTTATTTCAAACATACTCGGTTTATATACCAACCAAACAGACCACATCGTAGCATAAAATAGAAAATAACATTTGTACAAGATTTAGCCAAATAAGGCCGCGAATGTGGGAGATAGTGATTAATAGACAGGGAATAATTCAAGAATGGAAAATCGGATAATAACAGTTCATCAGTTAAAATAAAGCTTATGATAAGAGGGACATGAATATGGATAGTTTAGTTAATTGACAATTATACGGTAAAAATATACGCACAGTATTAATCCATAAATAGATCCCGAAAAAATCACCACCCACTATTCTTATCTAGACACAAAAATTACTTACGCCTGTTACCACTCGTCGAGGGTCATAGGCCGACCACCAGCATTCTTCATCCAACCCTGTCCTAAACAATCTTTCCCAGATCTTTCCAGTTCTTATTCATCCTTTTCATATTTGCTTCTATTTCCCGACGTAATGTGTTCTTTGGCCTTCCTCTTTTCCGCTTCCCTTCAGGATTCCAAGTTAAGGATTGCCTTATGATATAGTTTGATGATTTGGGTAATGTATGTGATATCCATTTCCATCGTCTTTTTCTAATTTCTTCTTCAACTGGAAGCTGGTTTGTTCTCTCCCACAAAAGGCTGTTGCTGATGGTATCCGGTCAACGGATGTTGAGTATCTTCCGAAGACAGCTATTTATAAATACTTGTATTTTATTGATGGTGATTGTAGTAGTTCTCCAAGTTTCAGCTCAGTACAGTAGAACTTCCTTTACGTTCGTATTGAAGATTCTGACTTGGATATTGGTTGATAGACAGTTGTTTTGAGTTCCATACGTTCTTCAATTGTAGGAATGCTACCTTTTCTTTTCATATCTTCACCTTTACGTCTGCATCTGAGCCTTCTTGTTCATTGATGATAATTCCCAGGTATGTGAAGGATTTTACATCTTCCAGAGTCTCGCCATCAAGAGCGATTGGATTGCTGTTCTTCGTTTTGAATTTGAGGACCTTGGTTTTCTCCTTGTGTATGCTGAGGCCTACTGATGCAGAGACTGCTGCTACACTGGCTGTCTTTATCTGCATTTGTTCATGCCACTTAACACTAAACATTTGTTCAATGATATTGATCAAATCGTAACATGAGGCGGGATCGTAGATGCGCACTGTTGAAGAGTCGTCCCACAATAAGACGATAAAGCCATCCAATGCTCCCAGGTTTTCTATGATGGTATAACTTCAATTGACTCATAATCTTAACTATTACAATAATTAGTTATTATCATATTAACTATTGATTAACAAGTCAATACAAAGATTGTAGGCATCCATCAATTAGAAAAAGGAATATCAACAATAATTGAATCTTCATATATATATATATGATTTATTGATCATTTTCATTCATTGAATTGAATTTCAATTCAACTGATTTATATTACTCAAATATACTTTCAGATCATAAATAAAGATAATGATAATAATTACTTATTGTTCTCTAATAACAACAGTCTGCAGATACACACACAGAGAGAGACTTACTGACATCTATAACATGGATAAACAATTACTATATCAGTTGGTTTCATTAACCTATTATAAACAAATGTGAAGTTTTACTAGATAAGCTTTAATTGTAATTTTATTACATTTGATGAAGTCTTGGCACTCAGATCAATCAACAGACATATTGAAATCGATTCAATTTATCAACCAATCAGAAAAACTACGGACAGATATAGGACCGAGAACCAAATGAATGGGAGATATAATCAAAATAAAGTAAACAATGTGCTATATTTGAAGAGATTACGAGTTCACCTAATCTGAGAACGGAACGAAGACCCTGTAACACAATCATCAATAAGCTAGCTATTCTGACGCGTACCAGCCCTGCTAACTAGAGAGAGAAGTCCAAGTTCAGAAGAGGGAAATATATTCCACAAGGAGTCAGAAGCACAAACAACAACAACAAGCACAAATCAAGAGTATATATACAGCATAAAAATGTCCTTAGGAAGCGTTAAAAAATAACATACTAAAACATACAACGAACCAATAGTGTTTAAGATCCTCTCAGGTAAGAAATAAAACATGAAGGGGAAAGTGAACGTTTTTGGTGCGAAAACAAGAAATCCAAATTTTTAAAATAGAATTACAAAAATGATCTAACATCTCCAACTCAATAACAGGTTAAAAGTCAACAGTAACCAATCAAGATCAAGGTCTACAAGACAAGCTGAGTCATATGTGAAGAGATTCGAACACTTCACTTCTACCTGAATTTTTGGCTGATGCTGTTGTTCAGAAGAAAAGAAGACACAATGAAAGCATCATGACATAACCACCAAACTCGGACAACAAAACTCCATCAAAATCATCCGCCTAAACTACAAATTCTTCTCCATTATCTAAATTTTATGATTTCTATATTTATTTCTTTGATCATATTGATATTGATCATTTCCTTTTGAAGAAATGAAAATCAGTTTTACCAGGATAAAAAAACATTAGAATTATTTAAATTGAAATCAATCAAATTATTTGAAACATTTACTAACTTCTAGGTATTCAATGTTGAAGTTCTGCTGAAATCTTGACGACGACGACATAACTTGATTCAAAGTACCACTACCATTATTGTTTACAAAAATAAAAGAACGTAAAGATAATCGGGAGGGGAGGAGTGCGGGGAAAAGTGAAGGAGTGGATGAGCATAAAATTTCATTTCAATCACAGCTACAAGCTTTATTCAATTTTTCTAATGTATATGGAAACTATACAAAATTACATGAAACATATTGACTAGAAGAATGAAGTACAATAATATGATGAAACATCTATACAAGATGTTTGTTTGTTTTTTTTACAATAAATTATTTATGTAATCATATACAAATTCATTAAATTAGCTTTTTAATTTTGGTAAATGAATTTGTTGAACATGACTTCGTAGAAATGGACGCCAACCACGAATTAGTTGTTGATTTTGACTAAGATAACGTTGACATTCATACCAATTATGAAAAGAATTCGATTCAGTAGCACCAATTAAATTTGCACCATGTACAGCCATAACACAACCAGTTAACTAATAAAGAAAAAATATATTGATAAAATAAAATAAAATATTTTGATGATAGTCAATAATAATATTTCTAAACTATAGTATCAATTCATTACTAATCAAAAGTTGAAGATTACAATAGTTGAGATCATGAATTAATTGAAGCTAGATCACCATGGAAAACTTGGAAGCATTGGATGGAATTAACCTGTTCTATGAATCTGGTGTTCATCTTGTTGTGCTAATGAAGTATGGCAACTTAGACCGACGCACATATGTGCCTTCCTGGTCCTACGTTATAGCTGACTGGCTGACTAACTTAAACTAACTAAACAACACAAAATCAGTTTTTAGTGATATTTTGCTCTTTGAGTGAGACAGTTTAATTGAAAGCTTCCACTATTGCTATGCTAAACATTACATAGGCTTCCATACAACAAAGTATAAGCTGATAAATTTTGCTCAGAACTATAATGAACATAACCTTAACTAAAAGTACCCATTTAAGCTGAATATCTCCTAAATCACTTCAAAACAATTGTCAACTGATCAATACAACGGTAAAAATTGAAATCTTTTGATGTGATCTTACTTTTACAATGATTCTTTGGAAAAAAAACAACCTCATATCAACCAGTCAAATAAAAAAATTCCTCAACACTTCACATTACTACTACTATTCATCATATTAAACTTACTTCAAATGGATAAGTATAATTATGTAATGTATAATATAATAATACACGTAAAATGTTCATATTTTCAGTAGATCTTCTACCTAATCCAAATATCAATAATCTGACCAAACGACAAGAACAATAATAAGCTGATGTTAAAATCATTTCACCAATTAAACGTGGTATAAAACCCTTTGAATAATAGAAGAAAATAAAAGAAGAAAAATCAAGTGAAAATAAATAATAAATAAAACATGACTATGGCATTTAGTTGATGAAGTCCATCGACAATTGAACTTAATCATCTTAATAAATACAGATTACCTGGTTAGATTTCATATGATTATCCTAAACAATAGTTAAAGACTATTAAATTGCGATAAAACGAATCATTATTGGACAATCAGTTGAATGAAACTCGTCACTATACATCAACTTCCTTGACTATGTGAAAGTAGATAGGAGAACCTTATAGAACCTTCTTCGACACTATGGAGTACCTAAAAAAAGTCGTCAATATCATACGGAATTAATACGACGGACTACATTGAAAAGTGGTGAATGGAGGATAGCTGATAGACGCATTCCAAGTGATGACCGGTGTCAGATAAGACTATCTACTCTCCCTCTTTCTCTTCTTTCTGGTGGTTGACTCGATTATGAAAGCCTCAAGATCTGAGGGGAAGCGCAGAACACAATGAACAGTATGGATGCAACTGGATGACTTGGACCTTGCAAATGATCTATCTCTTCCATCCCATACACATCGGCAAATGCAGGTAAAGACAAACAGTGTATCAGAGGTCTTTACAGCAGTAAACCTCAACATACACATAGTAAAAACCAAGATCCTTAAATACAGCATAGAGAACACCAAACCAATTACACTTGGTAGAGTAACTCTGAAAGAGATGGAACCTTTCATATGTCTAGGTAGCATCATTGATAAGCTGGGAGGATCTAATGCAGAAGTAAAGGCAAGAATTGCCAAAGCAAGGACAGCATTCTTACAGTTGAAGAACATATGGAACTTAAAACAACTATCAATCGATATAAAAGTTGTAATCTTCAATACGAGAGCCAAGACAGTCCTAATGTACGAGGCTGAAACTAGGAGAAAGCTTCCAACTAAAGAGGAAATTAAGAAAAGACGTTGGGGGTGGATAGGACAAACACTGTGGAAATCACCAAACTGAATCACGAGGCGAGCACCAACTTGGAAACTTGAAGGAAGAAGAAAAAGAGGAAGACCAAGCAATACACTGCGTCGAAAAGTGGAGGCAGACATCAGATGAATAGCAACTGGAAAGTATTGCCTAGGATAGAATTGGTTGGAGAATCCTGGTGGGCGGTCTATGCTCATCTACGAAGGGTAACAGGCGTAAGTGACCAAGTAAATTAATTGATTATCAATCGTGAATAAAACTGTAAATAGTACAAACACACATCTGTCAAAGTTGTTTGACAACATCAGCACTATAAGTTGAAATTGAAAAGATGGATAGAAAATAATTTGAAGTAACAATAACAGCGTAAATTAAGTTAACAAACTAAACATAAAAATATGGTTTGCAAAGAAAGAATACAAGTGACAAGTCAAAACACTAGGTATTAATGAGACTGAATTGGTATTTACTTAGCCAAAATTTTAGCTCTCATATAATACATTTAGCTTACAGGCGAAGTATGCTTGATCGGTATACGTCTCAAGTTTAAATTAATCTAATAGTAGCTGAGTAGTACATGTTTGTATATTTAGCTTTGAATTCTACACTTTTTACGTACGATGTTTACCTGAATCGAAGTGGAGGAAATGGATGCAAATCTGTAATTATATATTGTCTTTTTTAAAGCCAATCATTAAACGAAAGAATGAGAAAGGAATCAATAAAACATATCATACGATAAAACAATAATCACCTACCTGGAAAAATCCTAAAATACCATTTTCACGGTAAACAGCTCGAACAGCCATAGGAAAAAATGTATACTGAGTTTCTTTGCCAATTAAAGCTGCAATCTGTCGAACAGTAATCACTAAATTAATAAAACATAGACTATTAGGTGATTTCTAACATTTTAAAAGATAACAAATTAAAGAACAAGAATTAGTAGATGTCTAAAATACTTTTTTTGTGTGATCTACAATCTCTATGCAATATATATATACTTTACCTGTTAATACATGTAAACGTTCTTGAATAAGTTGCATGTTGAGTTATCTGCATAACTCTTAAACCTTACCACTAGCGCTGTGGATTTGGAATCTAGGAAGAAGTATGTTACTTTTAAAGTCAACATTTCTTAACCATTTCCTATGTCTTTGGGAAGACAGCATCATTAGAGATGTTGATTGTATGTCGAAAATACTGATTCGTCATCAAGTTTTAATTTAATTGACTTGTTAGGAATAGTAGGATCTCGATAAAAACGAATGTTTTAATCAATACAGCTTAACTGGATCACTGGGATGAAGAAACTTGACCACCATACTGAAACGGTAATCAAGACTGAAGGACATTTAATGGGCTTTAACGGACAAGTTGACATTTAGTCAAAAGTATATTATTAACCTACGAAAATGTTCAAAATTATGGTCACAGATATGAATGGGTTATTCTAATATTAAGCAGTTCATAAAGAGATTTGGTATCAAAATACAATGATTGATTGATTACTGGACTGGACTCAGATTGATCACATCGCGATCAGCTACCGCTGGCGTGGTTGTGTACAAGACTGCCGCTCCTTTTGGAGTACCTATCTGGACTCTGACCATGCCTTGATCTGCGCCAATCTTACCTTACTTTTCAGTGGCCAACGAAGTGACCGCCACCAACGGATTGATGTTAGCAAGCTGGTTGCAACTTCTGTTGCAAGTAAGTATCGAACCGAGCTAGCTTCTAGGCTAGCTACCATTCCACCGAAAAGTATAGATGAACATTGGTTGCAATTGCATGAAACCATGAAAATGGCGAGTAAAGTTGCTTGCGGCTTTGCGAAACGTCCCGCTTTTAAGCACTGGGTTTCTTCAGGCTCCTTACAACTCGTCGAAGCCCGTCGGTCTACTCCGGATCACCGTGAGTTGGATCACAAACGAAGGATGTTACGTAATGAAATCGGGCAAAGCTAGCGTAAGGACCGAGAAGCCTGGTGGTCGGAGCGTGCTAATGAGCTGGAAGCAGCAGCTGCATCTGGTAACTACCGAAAGCTCTTCCAACTCATCCGAGCCACTGGCAGCAAGAAGTCTGGTATGAGCGAAACAATCTGTGAGGGTGACGGGATGCCAATCACCAACATCCATCGACATCTTGGACGATGGGCAGAATTCCTCGAAGGGCAGCTCGACTGGCCTGCTGCTCCAGCAACATCGGTCAGACTGTCCTGCCCTCAATGACCTGTGACGACTGATCCACTACATGAGGCGGAAGTCCGAAAGGAACTCCAACCCTTGAAACGCTACAAATCACCTGGCCCAGATGACCTAACTCCGGCTCATGTTGTTCCTGTAAAAACTATCGGGGGATAAGTCTACTTCCGATTGCGTCCAAGCTATTGGATTCCTTCATACTTCGTAGGTTGTTCAAAACCCGAGAAAGATTGACTCGCGGGGAGCAGGCTGGGTTTCGTTCTGGTCGAGGATGTATTGATCATATCTTCACCCTCCGCCAAATGTTAGAACACCGTCATGCATATCACCACCCAACAAACGTAATATTTCTTGACATCAGGGCTGCCTTCGATTCGTTGGACAGGACTGTTCTCTGGGATTGTCTATTGAAGAAAGGTGTGCCTGAGAAGTTTATTAACATCCTAAAATCCCTATATACAAACACCTCAGGCAGAGTGAAGGGATACAACCACCTCTCTCCATTGTTCCATTCGAGCAGTGGCGTTAGACAGGGTTGCCCAATCTCACCATTTCTCCGCAACTTTGCCATCGACGACATTCTGGAAACAGCTCTGATGGATGTAAGTAATGGTGGTGTGGATCTGTTGCCTGGAAAAAGACCTCTCGACCTTGAATATGCGGATGATATTGTCTTACTGTGTGATAATGCCCAAGGCATACAATCCGCACTTAATCAGTTGACAATCAGTGTCCGTAGGTACGGTATGTGCTTTGCACCTTCGAAGTGCAAAGTACTTCTACAAGAATGGCAGGATCTTAATCATGTACCCACTCTGGATAGTTAGCAGATAGTAGTCAAGAAGTTCGTGTATCTGGGTAGCTGCATAAGTGCTGGTGGAGGTGTGAGTGATGAGATCAATGCATGTATAGTGAAAGCCAGAGCGGCTTATGCCAATCTGGGCCACCTTCGGCGCCTTCGTGATGTTAGTCTGGCTGTAAAAGGTCGGATCTACAACGCGTTGGTGAGAGTAGTTTTGCTCTTTGCTTGTGAAACCTGGCCTCTCCGAGTTGAGGATGCTAGATGACTATTTGTGTTTGGTCATCGTTGTCTCCGAAGCATTGCTGACATCCAGTGGCAACACCATGTTAGTAATGCAGAGGTTTGGCATCGTGTGTTCGGGCACAGTGAGGATAATGCAATTGGTGTCACCATCTTGAAACATCGACTTCGCTGGCTTTGACATGTTCTACGAATGTCGTCCCAGAGAATTCCACGTTGTGCATTACTTGCCGACGATGGGACTGGTTGGAAAAAGCAGAGAGGTGGTCAGTGTATGACATGGTGTCGTGGTATGAAAGCTGCAAAGAGCTGGCTTCTGTTGGTCCTCCACGACTCCCTGGCTGGGGTCCGAGAGATGGTGCTACACAGTGGCTAGAGATGTTATCAGATATAGCTCAGAATAGAAGCCAGTGGCGATCCTGTTGTAACCTTCTTTTACTTTCTTCATAAAAAGTGGTTGTATCTTTCTTAACTGGAAGAATTCTTCTGGTTATACCTTTCCGTTTCCCTCATTACTATTATTATTATTACTACACTACCTTACACTAATCTGTTCTTTTCTTCTTTTCTTATACACACCTTACCTTCTTTTTTCTCTTCCCATTCTCATTGTTTTGTGTGGCGCATATATATTTGGTTCCCCCTTGCACCAATACTCATGTGTTCAAACAAATAATAAATAAATGCCACCTTTAACATAGGCGATATATCTACCTGCCTATTAGAGGACGAGTACATGGCTCGGTAGCCAACTCTCTATTAAATCGAAAACGAAAATTGTGTACGTTATAGGTTTATCTCGGTCAGGAGGTTTCTAGTTCTATCCTGAAACCATCTATCATCGCGCTTCAAGGTGAGTGGAACGGTATGCATAACATGTGTTCCAGCCACCTCGTTCGATGAAGATTCACTGCTTCATAAATCGATCCACCACTTATACCTAATGGACTACTTTTGACCTCGACATCGCTTACTTAGTGATCTAAAAATGCTAAGTAATCATCTATGACCAAAACCTAGTGGTCTGCGAATATCCTCTATTTCTCTAAGTTCACATTTCACGGTCATAAAGTAAAAAAAATAGGACTATTGTGAAGTACACTCGCTCCTTCGTTGGTACGAATTCAAGTTTAAAAAAATACCATTTTTTGAACCGTATTAAGGTCTTGATTCTGAGTATCTCCACATACATTCCCTTACATTCCATGTTTTTTAACCATATTTCCAATGTTTAATCGTTCTCATTACCATTTTTACTACTAGTACTTGGACTCCTTAGCTACTCATCTTGTTAATTTCCTCTCGCTGTGCTGATGTAGTATGGGAACTTGGGCCAACACATTTGTGCTAGGCTCTACGTAAAGACTGACTGACAGACTCTTTGGGCTGAAATTGCAAACTACTCGGTATGAAACTCTACTTGACCTAAGTTTCTTGACAGTTTGGATTTGTCAGGTGTAACTATAATATTATGGGAACGTGGTCACGGGGCAGTCGATAATCTCCTATGAGATTGAGAAGTTTAAACTGGTTGATCACTGGGTAAGTGACCGATGTCATGTTTATCTATTCATTAGTGATGATTAAGTTCCGTCAATCGAGTTTCAATGAATTTATTATCCTACATGACTCGACATCACGAGCACTATGTTCCGACATCGGGTGGTCGGTAAAAAAACTGTGGACCTGAGTACCGTGCTAGTTGGTACCCATTACCAAGGGATGCCTGAATACTATAACAATCAGATGATACATACATACGTATATACACATTAAGGTTGATATTACAGTTTGTTTTACGGAAATGGGATATGCAAAAGAAATAGAAGTATACAAGATAAAATAGAACATACCATAAAATGGATGACTGATTAAAACTTCCCAAAGTTTCAGTGATAATATTTCAGTAAATCTTTCGAAGAAAACTGAGAGTTTTGACTCTTCCAAAAGTCGTTCAGCCTGAAATTCTTTATTGGTTTGTTGATTAGGAGTAGTATGAATGAGGATCTGTTTTTTATTGTAAAAATTATTTTCTGTTCGCATCCATATATTTGTTCTTCGTCTAAACGCTGCACGAAATATTTCCACAATAAAATCATGTGTAGCATTTGCAAACAATCCTGTTGACAGCACATTCCAAACACCTATTGTTTTCATTAAATGATAGGTATACTTGAAGAAATTCGGATAAACATAAATTGGAGATGATAAACCAAATAGAGCAAGAGGTGAACTGAACTGAACTGGTGCCAATGGTTCATAGCCTAACTTGATAAGAGTCCAGGCAACACGAAAAGGATTAGCCAATTGTCTCAGAAAGTAAACTTCAATGCCAGCTACAGGTTGTTGTTCTACATAAGGTACAATTGTACACGACACATGTTGTGAAAATTCATCAGTATCACTGTCAATCATGGAGTCTAGGAAATAGACAAAAATATAATTAATTCATATAGTATTTGTCATGCAAATGAAAAACTACGATTTAAAATATGTTTACCACGTCACAATATTACACCATCAAATAATAAATTGAAAATAAATATAAATATAAACCGAACAAGTTAAAATAATGGTCAGTTATTATTAACGTGGAACCTTGGATGAGTGTGTTTTCGGTCTAAGTTGATGCACCACAAAATGAAGCATAGGATGGGGAAATTTTTCAAATCAACGAAAACTTAAACATGAGAAAAACATTCCAAACGAAACAAATGGAACCACAAACTGAATAGTTAGACATAATATTAAACAGACGTTTGAGAGAAATATACAAAATAAGTGCAACTGCTCCATTTTGACTGAATTACAACCATTTTTATTTGGATTATCTGGGATTATTTTTGCAGATAATGGAAAATTTTGGGAAACGAGTAAACCGCTTCCTCTTGCTTCATCATAGAACGCAAGATCTTATTCATTTCGTATTTTGAATAATGACTTGGGCACTAAAAAGTTCTGTCTTATTCTTTCCTTGAGTAAAATTCATCTCTGAAAGTTTAAAAGTCATGATCGAATACTACCTTCTCCCTATAATACTGGGACGCTACCTTTTATCTTAGTCATTTGGTTTGTTTACAAATTTAAACATGTATAATCTACAGACCCTTTAACAAGCTTTTCTCCATACAATCTTCTAGACTTGCAGAGGGTTGAGGCACAAGTATTACGAACTTCTTGATATTGAGATTTTGTCTCGTCAGTATCCAGCAACCTGAATCTCTTCCACCTCCTCTTACAGAGGTTACGAACCTCCTCACTGAACCAGTGGCGAGTTTCTCGGATAATTTGATGTAGTACAAGGAATGTGAGGTGAGGTAAACTTTGTGCATATTTCTGAATACCTTCTAGGCCGTGTCAGCGGGGGATTCTGGTTCTAATATCCAATCTACTGAGTGCATAATTTCTACATCTGCTTCAAAATGTTTGATTTAGCATGAGCTGCTCATCACTGTTGACAACGATGTGGAAATCAAAGACTAGAACTGCATGGTCAGTATTACCTACGGGTAGCATATAATCAAGGTCTGCAAAACCATCCTGGTAATATGAGATCTAGTAGAAATGATTCGGAGCCCGTGTCGTACCTAGCTGCTTCCTACACATTTTGAACTAGGGGATGTGTAGTAACCACGTCAACTAATTTTCGTTCGAAAGAATTTTCTGACATCTTAGCACTCAGATTTTTCCAGTTTACCTTAGATGAATTAAAGTCTCCTAAAACTAACCGACCGCTTGATGACCATCTGTTAAATCCGTCTAGCAAGACCTCATTCACCTTACAATTAGGACTGGCAATCCGAACTAATCAACAGCTCCTTTCCTTTGCATATCAAGCAGTGGCTAACTAAGTTGCACGTTCCGCTTCTGTGATGTTATCGATAACGGCAAATGAGACGGCATAATTAAGGGATAAAGGTGCTCCGCCTTTACGCTTTTGGGTTCTGTCGGTTCTTACTAATGTAAAATTTTGAACATCAAGTTCCCTATAATCTATAGACTGAGTCAGCCAAGTTTCTGTGACGACAGTTACATCCATCTAGGTAGAATATATTTGTACACCTAGCTCCTACCGCTTATTAAACTCCTGTGATTTGTGTGACAGATCCGAAGACCATTTAAGTAGCTTCAAGTTGTACCCAGGGTGGCTTCGGCATCATTCTCTGTCGAATCCTCATAGCCCGAAAATTTATAATTCTAAGTTGCTTAGTTTTAGTACCGTTACATCGCGCTTTTTTAAACGGCCCACGAGCGACAAGACTTTACCAACAAGAACTCCTGAACTTTTTAATTCATGTACATTATATGGCATTAACTCCCTTTTATTGGGCGATTGAAATACAATATTTAGCAGCCTGGTTTAATCCTATTGCAAGTCCGCTTGGCTACCTAGTCGACAAACCTTCAGCAAGGCAACCCTAGAAATACCTTGATGCATCAGCTAGTTAAGTAGATCTTTTACCAACCCAATGTCGTGCTCAACGAGTTTTGAGCTGAGTTTTTGCTCTCCTTGACTCTAAAAGATGACTGACCTGTCACTAGAATCATTCACTTATTTCTCAACTTCTGTTAACGAGACATGAGGTTATTTTTCATCCATGATTTATGTCCAGTCATCAGTTTCCACAGGGGTAGCAATCACAGTTGTGCTACACACATTGTGAGACCTGGATGATTGTCGGAGATTTGGGCGGTCAGGTTTTTGTTTCTCCTGCCAAAAACAGACCTAGCCATGGGATTGAATTTTCCAGGAGTCTTCTAAATGCTTTCACTTTGAGAGCTGGAAGCAGAAGAAATATGGCTTCATGAGTACTTCCTCCTTAGACCCATGTAAGTTCATAGACTTTGGGATTATTTGGAATGACAGCAAATCCATCTATGTATCGACAAAGCATTATTAAATCCGTCATGATTGCGCTTACTAATATGCATTTTAGCAGCCTAAAACATTGTAGGGGTCTCAAAAGACAAGCACTTAGTATCAGAGGCTCATTGCTGGAATGACTATATGCATCCACTTTCACGCAACCTTTTGGAAGCCGAAAAAGTTGGAGTTGTATGGACTCACTGCTACCATTCTTCAAACTCAACACACTGTATGCAATTTTCTGAATGATATTTATAGCACAGGCTAGGTATTGCTTCTTAAGAAGCACTTATCTAAAATTTTAGTCTAATATTTTGGACTATCTAGTCACCAGTCGGCTTTTTAAAAATAGCAAGGACACTCAAACACGTAGATAATGAAGCTGATAACCAACAAAAAAGGTGAATTACGAACTACTAAGTTCAAAAGTGCAACAAACAGAAACAAAACTGGTATACTCAATTAAAGAACGTGTGTAAAATTACTTTTGAAAAGTAACGATATTCTTGTTGTTGATTCAACTGACGTTAGTTCTATTAAAGAGTAAACGGCGGACTTGGTGTGTAATAAACAATCAAAACTATGATTTTAACACAGTGAAGTAAAATATACCACCTTACTCTGAAATAGAGCGCCTTTACTTCGGTAATAAAATGCTCGACATCCCCAAGGTCGTGCGGTCAATATTTCTGAAGGAATGTTCACATGGATATTGCCTTCGAATTGGCTTGTGAAGCACTCAAATGTAACGAAGTTCCAGTAGGGTGTGCTTTTGTTTATAATGGAGAAGTAATTGCATCTGGTCGCAACGAAGTAACTCATTAGTATGAGTTTTGTGATTTCTAGGTGAATGCAACTAGAGATGCTACTCAACATGCCGAGATGGTTACTATTAGACGACTGGAACAATGGTGTCGAAATAACGAAAAGGAGCTTGACAAGGTTTTGACCGAATGCGACCTTTTTGTTACAGTGGAACCCTGCATTATGTGTACGGCTGTTATACGATCAGTTTCAAAGTGTTTTAAGTGGTTCTGGGTGGAATAGAAGTTTTCGCTTAGCGAATGTAGCGATAAATAAATACTCAAAATCAATAACACTGTACGTCTTTGAAATTTAGTGCTGACCACATTACTCTTAATGTACTCACCCAGCTGAAGGCTCTCGGTCATACAGCCGCACCAGATCACGAGTGGGAATGCCGATCTCAACTTCCCCTGCAATCTCTGACCAATTTAGATCAACCACTTCCCCATGTATTTATAACATATCGAGTGTATCTTCGAAAGTCCTCGCCTCTTAATTTTGATTTCACTGGGTGAGTACGATTCAATTATGAGTGTTACTGATTAAATTGTTGCCAAACTACAAATACTTGTGGCATTCTTCACTGGCGAGCCGACGTGATCTAGTACACCGACTCGTAAACTGTAAGTCTTTTCCTATTAGGAACTTCATATATCATTACTCTACCTAAATTTTTATATATTGTGATTTTTTTCATATTTTTGGATCTTTTTTCCCTCGTTCATTCCTGTACTTCATCTTCGCCATAACAGAACAGACTCCTAAGGTACCTAAGATCAAGACTTTGGCACCACCCTCATTCTAGCTAGCGCCATGCTGGGTGGACAGCATCAAAGCCTGGTTCTGCTACATAGAGGCTGACCTCTACGAGCATTGAATGACCGATGCACGTGCACAATTCCTCCTAGTAGTAATGGCACTAGCACGCGAATTCTGCAGGTACAAACACCTAGTATGTTTACTAGTGATGTTTCGGAACCTTATGAAACTGTAAAATGGCCTATTCTGAAACGCGGGAATGTAACAGATCAACAAAGGTTAGATCAATTCCTTAATAACATCGATCTTTAACATGGCTCGGCAACGGGCATGTTGTTATGAATGAACGATGTAATTGATCAAGGGACTGTCGACGATGACCTGTTTAAACAACTTCTTTTGTCTAACCTTCCTCAACAGGTGCATGCTGTACTTGTCTCGATTCAAAACAACACCGTAGACGAGCTGGTTGAATCTGCCGACCTCAATCTGGAGATAACCAAATCTTCTAACTCCGATGTTTCTTCAGTCAAAGAAAAACCCCAAGCGACACGCAATGACATTTTCGAAAGAGCGCCGACTACCTCCCGAAAAACTGAGATTGGCTAAAAACGAACTCAATCACGTGATAGATTGAGGAATCATTCAGCAATCTTACTGCAATAACAAGTTACTTGCAATGTCAAGAGATGCAGCATCATGGTAACCGGTTACCAACGACTGGTTTATACGTCGTTTATTCCCTTAGGATCCTGGAACCCATGTACACCATTGGTTTGGAATTACTTACTTACTTACGCCTGTTACTCCAAATGGAGCATAGGCCGCCGACCAGCATTCTCCAACCCACTCTGTCCTGGGCCTTCCTTTCTAATTCCATCCAATTCTTGTTCATTTTTCTCATGTCTATCTCCATTTTTCTGTGTAATGTGTTCTTTGGTCTTTCTCTTTTCCTTTGACCTTGAGGATTCCATGTGAGTGATTGTCGTTTGACGCAGTTGGGTGCTTTCCTCAATGTGTGTCCTATCCACTTCCAGCACTTCTTCCCGATTTCTTCTTCCTGTTTTTTTCTCCCTCATAGTAGTAGGCTGTTGCTGAGAGTGCGTGTCCAACGAATCCAAAGTATTTTGTTAAGACGGCTATTAATAAATACTTTTATCTTCTGGATAATTGCTTTCGTAGTTCTCCAAGGTTCCGCACCATACAATAGAAATGTCTTGACATTTGTAGTGAAAATTCTAACCTTGGTGCTGGTTGACAGTTGCTTTGAGTTCCAGCTGCTCTTCAGTTATAAATATACTGTTTTTACTTCGCCGATCCACGCCTTCACATCTGCATCAGATCCACCACGTTCATCAATGATGCTGCCCAGATATGTGAAGGTTTTTACATCTTCCAAATCTTCTCCGTCAATTGTGATTGGATTGGTGAATGTTGTGTTGTATCGGAGAACCTTGCTCTTCCCTTTGTGTATATTGAGACCTACTGCTGCTGAGGCTGGTGCTACACTGGTCGCCTCCTGCACTTGTTGATGCGTTTGCGATAGGATGGCCAGATCATCTGCAAAATCTAGATCGTCCAGCTGCATTCTAACTGTCCACTTTATCCCATGCTTCCTCTTAGATGTTGATGTCTTGATGATCCAGTCGATCAACAGGAGAAAGAGAAAGGGTGAGCGTAAACAACCTTTCCTGACACCGGTCTTTACTTCGAACGAGTCTTTCAATTGTCCTCCATGCACGTTTTTGGGGTTTAATCAATCATATAAATTCCATAATATATTGACTATCTTCTGAGGCACGGCGTAGTATCGAAGAAGCTTCCATAGTGTTGTTCTGTCCACGCTATCAAATGTTTTTTCATATTCAATGAAGTTGATGTAGAGTGATGAATTCCATTCAATTGATTGTTCCACAGTGATCCGTAGAGTTGCGATATGGTCTGAACATGATCTATCCTTACGTAATCCTGTTTGTTGGTCTTGAAGTTGGGCGTCTACGGAGTACTTCATTCTGTTAAACGATACCCTGTTGAAGACGTTTCGTGGTATTGAGAGAAGAGGGATACCCCTGTAGTTATCACAGTTGCTGAGATCGTTTTCCTTTGGTATTTTAACCAGAAATTCTTTTTTCCAATCTGTTGGTACTTGTTCTTCATCCCAAATCTTATTGAAGAGAATGTGGAGTATCCGCTTTTATCCCTTTCTAGTTGCTCTCCATAGTAGTTCTCATTCTATTGAGTAGATCACGGAAGGCCCGGAACCTATTGCTGAGAACTATCTTGAATTTGTTGAGTTTGTCGGTATCCTGAAGAAAAGACTTATTGAACTCTTGTGATATTTTCCGCCCCGTTGTCCAGTGTTTCTTGAGTTTCAATTTCATCTTGGCGACCAGCACGTGATGGTCTGATGCTATATCAGCTCCTCTCTTGGTTCTCACGTCTTCCATCGTCCCCCTGAACTTTTTATTGATGCAGATATGGTCGATTTGGTTTTGTGTAGAGTGATCTTCTATTAGAATGGTCAAGTCATTTGTTGAGCACTTCTCGGCGACTGACTGTAGCCTATCGTAGAATTGATCTTCAACGTTCATTGTAATCCCCTCTTTCTTTGTTTTGAAGGAGGCTTTGATGATCCTTGGTCCATGAGATTCCCATCATATAAGGGCATTTAGTGCTTGTTTGGACAGCATCAATGCAGCTCCTTGTGTATGTGGGGCATTTTTTCCGACTGGTGACTTTCGGCAAATTAATGAACAAACCACTTCCGATCGTTACTCGATGGCTCATATTCACGATTTTACAGCTTCTTTGAAAATTACAACTGTTTTTTTTTGAGAATCGACTGTTTTCAAGGAATCGACCATCGTAAATTCTGCCAGCTCTAAAAAGAAGTGGGTCTTCAGAGATAGTTATATTCAACAACCCTAAAATTGCTCAGTAAACATGTAGGAACAGGTAAGGACATTTTACTATGCAACACGTCTACGAGTAAGGATCGCCCAATCGTGCCGGAACATTATCGACGCAATGTCTTCAATATGTTGCACAAACTTTCCCATCTAGGTGTTCGTGCAACCATCAAGCTCATAACAGAACGATTATGGTATTCGCAATGCAGTGAAAGCTGACATTGCAGCTCAAATTCTTTTTGAAACGATATTCCGACTTCTGGGGGAATTCGTGGATTTTTCATCGTCTTCAGTGAATGTGGGTCTCAACTCCTACACAAGCAGGCTTACAAACGCAACGAGTTGAGTTAAGCCTGTTTCCACTCGATCGTACTCAACTGATGTTTTCATTAAACCTGCCTTACGATATCGTACGCACGTCTTTGCACGTTGCGACTCGGTTCGATGACCTCTGAAAACAGCACACAAATGGCCCTCCAAAGTTCGTCAGCGTGAGCCTACGTACTATATAATCGACAAGAACGGAACAGTATCAGCATCGATGATAGTTCTATTCGTGTCAATTTTCCTTCGGTACAATTGAATGACACGAGTTCTATATTAACGATACCTCATCCAATAGCCAACAACCACGAGAATACATTGACGGTATCTAAAAACAAACTCAAACCAACGCGTTCTGCATAAACAGTACGGTTCTCAGAATAAATCAAATCAGAAACTTGTTGTAGAATTACTCAGACACCGTCACGCGTAGCATGCGTGTTTAAAAACAAAGAATTCTCAATTTACAACTTCTCACACTTGGCTCCTTTAGGTATATGCAATCATGCCATCATAGGCTTATAGCTACCGAACAACTAATAGTCGGTTGGAACAACGGACTGACGAACCCAAATTTATTCGATTAGACCAGACCACGTTCCTCTGTATAGCTCACAACGCGTTTTTGAGATACTCGTATTATATTATATCAAAAAATGAACTCTGTACTCAATATAAACGGTTCTAATTAAGAAAACAGAACAAAGTACATCAAAAATACAAAATACCTCAAACGGTACAGCCTGTGCTATACAGTCAGAAGTTTCTCTAACGCAAAGGAGCGCGCCAAACAATGAAAGAGACAGTTAATATTAAAGGGTTTTATACCTGAGAATCAATACAAATATTCCCAACAAGGTAGGATCAAATAT